CTCAACAGTCATTAGGTTTGTGTCTTCACTCGCTGCATTATATGGTATATATTATATCTAATATATATAATATAAGTATATATACCGTTCTTAGGACAAATACCCCCGGACAATCCCCCCCGGACAATTACCCCCGACACATTACCCCCGGGACAATTCCCCCCATGCCATTTACCCGCCGGACATTATCCCCTGGACAATTACCCCCGGACATTTACCCCCCGGACATTTACCCCGCGACATTTACCCCCCGACAATTACCCCCGGACAATTACCCCCCGGATATTTACCCCCCGGACAATTACCCGGGGGTAAATGGCATGGGGGATAATTGTCCGGGGGGTAATTGTCCGGGGGGTAATTGTCCGGGGGGTATTTGTCCTGACACCATATATACACATTTCCTTGCTGAATTGCAATGTTGTAAAGATATAAATCATAGATATTTGCGGTAGTTAAATTGAATTTTTGTCATCATTCTCGTAGTACTTGGCCGACATTGAAGAGCATTTGTTGATGAGCATCTCCCAAATTCCGGCATCCATGGAAGTCGCACATGATGAGTTTGATGGAAAAGTTACATATGGTCAAAAGCGACAGGAAATGGGTACGAGTTATATTATATATACATCATAGATTTTATATACTTTTCGAGTATTACACATCGATTGTTTTATCCACACACCCCTTGCAGAACCTGTAAGAGTTGCTGGTGATGTAAAAGCAAAACTAATCGCAATACTATTCAATGGCGATTGGGAAAATTGTTAGCAAGATGTTTCGATGTCACGTGCTAATGCGGCTGCGCCGTTATACTTTTAGCGCCAAAGTATAAAGGACATGTAGAGTTCCTTGCGCCGATGGTCGCAGAGTTGGCTGCGATGGAACAGCAAGCGCAAACTAGCTTTCTCAACCTTCAGTATGGAAAACCATTCGTGCGATCATAGACCCACTGTTGTGTGAATCCCGCTTACGAACCAGTGCTCTCGGCTGCCATGAACTGTATCGTGACCTTTGTCAGTAGGGGGAGGACGACCCCCATGATTGGTCACAGAAGGATTAGTCGCGTCTTGGAGATCTGGCCGCATGATATGTGAGATTTTTCTGTTTTCCCGGTTTATTAGCAATCGGTGCAAATTATCAAAGCCTGGTGGCATTGAATGTTACGTCATGAAAACCAGTCTCACGCCAAATTGCATGGTCCTGTAGGGTGAGCATTGTGATGAAACTACGCAGATATCGGTTTTAGCGCACAATTTTCAGTACAGGTATCTACGAATAGAAGTTGCCCTGAGCAACCAATGACTTGGCCCTGTCATGGCATTGAAAAACAGTATGTGTAAATCGCTTCAGTAATTGCTTGTGCATTCAATAATAATGAATTAGAATAAAAAACCATTGGTTGAAAAACGGTTGGCTATAAGTTGCATGGAATTTGGCATCAATATTTCCAAAAATTTATATTGGATTTCATCGCTGCTCAAAATATTATTCTTTCTAATATATAATAATTATAAAATAAGTTCTTTCGAACATCTGATATATAGTTTCAGCCAGAATCTTATCGTTACTAAAGTAAAGCAATGTAACATCTATTGTTCTGTGCATGCATATAAGTAATTAGTGTGTGTATAATATGACTCGCTCTCTCTCTCTAGCTCTCTGTGCACGTGCACGTGTGCATGCGTGTGGATGAATCAAGGTTTTAGCGCAACCATTAAGTTTGTTTGCGGCGAAACTGTACGGTTCGATTGGTCGTACAGTTTCACCGCGACAATTCGTGTACACCAAGAATAGTGTAGGTCATTTCAGAACACATGATATATACATATAATATACATACATGTATATGAAATTAAACAGTGCAACATTTTAATAATAAACACAACATTAGTACAATATCGTAGAGAAAATAATTGAAAACTGTTCCCCTTCAACTGAAAGCAATATTTCAAAATTGATCGAATGGTAGCTCAGTCCGTAAGTTTCCTTAGTCACATTTCTGCAATTTCTATTCAGTGAAATTCATGCTTCGACACAACATGTAAAACAAATTAAATATTAGTCGTTTGAATGATTTTATTTGTGTCAGAATTAGACTTGATAACAAATTTAGAAGAAACGTGATTAAACGTAAACGACTGTGACATAGTTGAAATGGGCAATGCCGCGCAATCAAATTACATAATGCAATATAATTAAATGTGCAATAACATGGCAATAATTCACAAAAAACAAGATTAACCAACAGAAATTAACTCCATCACTTCACTTCCATCACGGTTATACAGCTGGAACGCAATTAAAAGCTCCAAATGTTATTAGTGCATTAAATTACGCTAGTCCCTCCGATAATTTTGCGTCCGCGTCTTTTAGCCGAACCCATGTATTCAGTTGTCTAGCTTTAAGCGAAGACCAAATGACGTGGTCGGACAGTGCGAGTATTTGCAACGCCTGCAGTGCAGCTCCCTCTGGTGAGAGCACAGTGCTACAACCCAACCCCGAAGGAAGCCGCAGCGAGGACCAGATATCCTGCGCCCCCCATTCCGCTGTAACAGGCGGGCAGTTGATGACGGGGATGACCGTGTTGCCAGCGAGGACGGGACCGAGACCGTTGCTACGGCCCGCCACGGCGACAATGACCATCGCCACGTGCTGGGCCTCGTACTCGGCGAGGATCCTCAGCGTCTCGTCGGTGCCCTTGTGAGCGGAGGTGACGCGGAGGTGACAGGTGACGCCGCAGCTGTCACAGACGGACTGCACGCGCGACGACGTCGTCAAGTCGGACGCCGACCCCATGAACACGACGACCTGACCCGACGAACGCTCGCTGAACTTCCTCACCTTCTCGGCAATCCACGCGAAGTTGGTTTTGACCGTCTCGAGCGTCGTCGGCGTGACCGTGTCAAGGTCGCGGTACACCTGCTTGTCCTTCATGAGTCGCCGGTCACCTTGAGGCCACAGTCGCCAGGAGTCGCTGTCAATGACGTCAGCCAGTAGGATCTCGCCCGTGTCCGCGTCGACGCCGTATTCGACCTTCATGTCGACGAGAGTGCAGTCGAGAGACCGCCACGCCCTTTCGAGCATCTCGAAGATGCAGATGGTCATCTTTGCCATGACGTCGATCTCGCGCTGGCCGATCGCTCGCTTGCCACACGTGAGACCGCGGGCCAGCAGCTGCTCGAATGACCACTGAGGGTCTCCGGCCGCGTCGTCCTTGAAAAATATCTCCAGTTTCACCGGTCGGAACACGTAGCCCTCAGGAACTCCGGGGTTGCGCTTCAGAAATGACCCAGTGGCTATACGTCTAGTGACCCACTCGATAGGTACCATGTGGCAGCGGCGTGCAACGAAAGAGGTGTCGTTGTGCGATTGGACGTAGTGGGTTCGCACGCCCGCTCTGGCAAGGTACTCGAATATCATTCCTGTCGTCTGGTTGGAAATTTGCGCTTTTCCAGCCATGTCGTCAGAGCGTGCTGCATTGTGGGCGGTAATGCGATCCTTTGACTGAAGGAGAACATGCTCATGCTTCCCCAGCAGTTCGAGCACCACCTTCGTCTTCCCCTCTGCCAGTACTGCTCCTGTTTCACTCATCGTTGATAGTCACCCTGTTAATAATAATAGGACAAGAAATTATTGTTCTTTTCACCAAAATAGCACATTATAATTCTACCGTTATACTACCGACAATACTACCGTTAGCGCTACAATATTAGTTATTACATTTACACGGTCAATAAATCATTGATTTTGAGACATTTTGAGTCGGAGAAAAAGTCCAAGTTCTACGTCTAATTAATAAATTATAGCAATTAAGTACTTGTGTCATAACGGTAAGGTCTATCAATTGAAAAACAGGAATATATATGCGGGTATGTTTGCTTGACTATACATACACAGAAAGTTGTAAAAATGTACATCAAATATGTATGAGTTTACCGCGCCGATGACGAGCTCAGTGTAAAACAATAGACGGACTTTTTGTAAATTCTAGGTGGCTCTGTAGCCTCTGGTGAGTATTGTAATTTGTGATTCTGTTCTATGATTAGAAACTGTTTAAATCTGGAAAAAGGCAAAGCAATGTCATCGAAAACCTGCAGGCTAACACTTACCTTGCAACTTTAGATGCTGCTTGCTAAATGTGAGTGTTCCTCACTAAAATGGCCACATAACCTTCATGGTATGTATGAACTGCGTCAGTCTTACTGAATAATAGAAGCCAATTTCTGACAGAACTTGTCTACAATTTAGTATTTACAAATCACAGTCGATTATTACCAAAGATTATTACCTCCGCCAGGGGCATGGCGGGGGTTATGTTTTCACCGGCGAGTTTTTGAGTGTTGGTTTGTGTGTTACCATGCACGTTTCAGTTCACTTCTGCTAGGTGCACTGGCTGTAGATTTACAAACACGCAACCACAGGCTAAGGGGCAACCACAGTCCTCCCCCACCTGCACGCTCGCACTAAGCCACTATTACTACTAATCCGGATTCAATTAATTATTTAATTAATTAATTAATTTTTCCACTTAATTAATTAATTAATTAATAAAAAAATTTACATTGAGAGAATTCAGCTGCCTTGGCGGAGGTCTGTGCTCTCCGAGTGCTCTAGTTGAAACTGTTATAATATGCTATGCCGCGCCTGCATGTGGCGAACAAACTAAGGCTATATATAGACTTAGTATAGTACTATAGAGCTACAGCAGTAGTAGTACTTGTGATGATTGATCAGTCATATAAATATTACCTCATGACCTCGTAGTCGTACAAAAAGTCTTATAAAATCAAGTCTTCTAAATTCAAAGGCCATGAAACTTTCATTTAAAGGGAATTGTATTGAAGACGAAGAGAGGCAAAGCCAACGGCAACGTAGCTCTAGAACTATATGTAGCTCCGCCGCTCATAGTTTATCAACACTGCAAATTTTGATGTGTGAACACTGCAACTGCGAGCTTCAATTTTGCAATGACCGAGAAAGGAATGAAATTCCAATATGGGATAACAAAAGTGAAAAAAATCAACTTAACTTATAATACTATTTATAAATATCTATTACAGGGCTGCCAACATTGAGTTAGATTGGAGAATGAGATTATGCGAGGGAGGGGAGCACCCAAGTGGGGGGAGGGTGATGGAGGCGGGCACCCCCCTCCCACACCAGGGAGCTTTTGCATTTTCAGCTTGAAATTGTGCATTCTGTGGCATACTTAAGTGAGTTTATACACCTACACATATATGTAATGCAATACACTACAGGGCTGTATATAGTGGCCTCCCAAAATGTGCTACGGCAGAAAAATGTAGGATCACCCAGTAATATAATAAATAGCATAAGTGATGGTTATGGTGTGCGCCGGTGTCACGGTCTGAGATTACCCCAGCACGTTGCGCGCAGGCGTGACGCATGCGCAGTAGCGCTGCGTGTTAAGCGCAGTAGCATTGGGCAAATGAGACTGCCGCGGTGGCAGTTAGCGTTGTACCGTAGAGTTTGGACCGTAGTGCCTGCGATAACTATAATACATATAGTCATATACTATAGTAACTATACTATTATAGCTCATAATAAGCAGGGGATATCAAATAATTATGTTACAATCTACTCTTAGCATGAGAGAGAGAGAGAGAGAGAGAGAGAGAGAGAGAGAGAGAGAGAGAGAGAGAGAGAGAGAGAGAGAGAGAGAGAGAGAGAGAGAGAGAGAGAGAGAGAGAGAGAGAGAGAGAGAG